TTCCCTTGATTTCATAGTCTATTGTTCATTTTATTTTGTTACCTATCACCTAGTTTCCACACGTCCCGGGTTGACTGGGAGAGAATGCCTAAAGGCATTAAGTCCGCCCTTTGTAATCCTTTAATTAAGGTGCAATAAAGTGTAAATAAATAAATAAATAAATCAGAGAATGTATTGATAACACGAATTCCAATTGTGTTAAGTATTGCTACTCCATTATGATCATTACCTGAATCTAATCGTATAATATTATAACCTTTTACTCTAAAATTGTGCCTAGGTGTAAGCCAAGTTTCACATATGACAGCAACATCTATGGTGTTCTCATATAAAAGTTGTGCAAATTGAAAGCGATTTTTAATTAAACTCTGTGCATTCCATTGTAAAATGTTAAACTGATCCATAAAATATTAAATGTTAAATAATGAAATATCTAATGATTTCTTATATTTACGCGAACACTACACATTTTTAAATAAAACTAATTTTACTGATTTTATCGCGTATATTAACTTATTTTTATATACCCGACGTTTCGGGTGCTTTCCAGCACCCGTGGTCACGGGGGGCTGAGTTGTTTGACGTCCTGCTGTCATAGTTAGCCCGGCTACCTTCAGTTTTTTAATATTAATTTTTGGTTCGATTTACGTAGAATGAGCTTACAGTATCTTGAAGTCTAGCAGTGGTATACTTGGGTTTGGATTTGATTTTATTAATTATGGGATCCCAAGCAGATGGCAGCACCCATCCATCTTCTCTATTGAAATTAGGATGTTTTTTAATTTCAATAGCCTCGCGAATCATTCTTGGAAGGAATCGGTGTTCTTTTGCGAGGATTTGTGGTCTATCAAATCTAATGTAATGGCGGGGACGATCTTGAACATGTTCAGAAGTCTGCAGTTTGTGGTTGGGTTTCCAAACCCAAGTATACCACTGCTAGACTTCAAGATACTGTAAGCTCATTCTGCGTAAATCGAACCAAAAATTAATATCAAAAAACTGAAGGTAGCCGGGCTAACTATGACAGCAGGACGTCAAACAACTCAGTCCCCCGTGACCACGGGTGCTGGAAAGCACCCGAAACGTCGGGAATATAAAAATAAGTTAATATACGCGATAAAATCCGTAAAATTAGTTTTATTTAAAAATGAAATATCTATTTTGGTTTCATTGTATCTATGAGAACATCTTTTATGAGCTGAGAAGATATGGTGGTTTGTTCATTTGATTTATTAAGAGTTAATACTTTAATGACTGTATTTAAAATTATATTAATAATGTCATCATTCTTTAGCAGTGACATAAGAACATCTTTGGGATTTTTTTTGTTTAATTCGGGGAATTCGTTTTTATTAAAAAGGTCTACAAATGGGGTTTTGTGTAATTTAGCCTGATTTTCTTTTATCTTTTGTTTCTTAACAGGACACTGTCCAGAAATGCTTAGATGGTTTCCTTTGCAATGTATGCATATCGCTTTATCTGAAGAGACTTGGCAATCTTTGTAGCTGTGATTTTCAGTACAAATTGAGCATTTCACAGAATTTTTACAATACTTTGCTAAGTGACCATACCTCAGACAATTGTAGCACTATTTCAATGGTGGAATATACTGATTTACCACGAACCGCCAACCATGAATATCGACGTGGTCCGGCAAAACATTAGAAGCGAATGTGATGGCCACGGTGCCTATCGGCTGCAGCAAACTGCGTCCTGCATCATTCTTATGTTTCCTCATTATCCTTTTAACACATATTATCTTCATGTAAGTCGTTAACATACCAAAAATTCTTGAATTAGAAAGATTAGTGGGAAATTAGAATTAGTGGGGTTATGACTCCTGTTATTTCTGTCCCTACAGCTGGGATAGATGCCTTCATTTTGTATTCATTATGAAAAGTAATATTATTTAAAAATGCATTCGCTAGAGAGGACTTTTCAAAATGAACGCCTATTTTGTATTTATTCATCGATTGCAAATATTTAATGCCTTTATTGAACCTCTTCATATATGTGGACAGAGACATCATGTCCCGCGTGCCAATCGGCCTTCTTGCATCATTTGATTCGACAAATACAACAAAATCAACGAGAATAGAGTCCTCAGGGTACCTCCTGTTGTAGTCAGATACAAAGTACGGCTTATACTTGCGCTGCTCTTTCTCAGGATCTTCCTCAGTACTGGTATCAATTTCTTCCTCCTCAGTCGTTTCTTCAAACACTTCTTCTCCTGGCAACTTTTTTTTTCTACGTTTCCCCATGATGAGGAAACCCAGTAACAACAAATAATAAATGTTTAGTGCCTTTTAACTAAATAAAACAAAATTAAAATTTTAGTTTAAAAAAAGGCGCCTATCACGTTTCAAGGTTCCCGCGCTTGCCTCTATGCTTTGAACTTTTTGAAGTTTTTTGACAAGTGACAGTTACAAGTTTACTTGTTGTTGTTTTTATTATTCGCTCGAGAGAGCAGGCAAAGGAACTAAGCTATAGAGCCTTGTCTTTTTTATTTTGAATATATAGAATTTTAAAGTGTAAAGGCCGGAACCAAGTCTTATTTTTCTTCTTTCCATTTATTCAAAATCCATAAAGGCCGAAGCCAATTCTTATTTTCTTTAATTCTTTATATTTTCAAAAACCGTAAAGGTTAAAACCAAGTCTTCTTTATATTATAATCTTTGTAAGATTCAATCCACGTAGATTTGTCAATCCAATATTTTCAAAAACAGGGATACCATATTTCATATTTCTTTTACAGTATTATGATTACAAGTTTACAAGATTGCAAGCAAGACAAACATACATGTTGGTTTTGTTCATAGATAAATAAATATGTATTCATTGTCTATTTTGTTGTTATTACGATTTTTTACTACGTAAAGCAGAAAAAGTTTTAAGCTATACAGCCTAGTTTGATATGTATTTTATTCCAAAACTTCTTTACAATTATGCTAATACATTACATAGGGTAGATTTTAGGAAATTTTAGCAATAGTTTAACCCAGTGGACTGTTCATGTCGATAGTATCTCAAGCCGCACAATTAAATAAAAAGCTTGAGATTTACCTAATAGTTCACATGCGCTGTAATACATGGCTAGAAAAGGGTATGAACATTTTTGTACGAACCTGGCATATGAATGATGTTATGTAGATTGTATTATTTTCAAAATGGATTTTTTTTAATTTATGATGAATTCCAGAAAGTCTGCGAGAAAAATAAGTCCTTCAGTTACCATTTTAGGCCCATTTTTCATCGTTATAGCCGCCAAACTACAGACTAACTTAACTTACTCATAACATTCTAATTAATTTGTGACTATAAAGGATTATTATCCCTTGATACTGAGATAAATGAAGATATGGCTAAAACGATAAGCATCCAAACAAAAAAAAAGTCTTGTCTCTAATATATATATACAACAATCCAATAATCTATGGTCTATTGTCTATGATTTAGTCTTGGGCATAGTCGGTCGCCATTGGGTGCGCTCAATTTAGTTCGTAGTCCTATAGCGAACTAGTTCGCTCATTTAGTTCGTTAGTTCTTTTTTAATTTTTCAGTAGATCTTATTAAAAAAGATGAGTTTATTGAATGTCAGTAAATAACAATTAATTGAATTTACGTTAAAAAAAATTAATGATTTAATTAGTATGTAATTTACTACATAATGTATAATATTTGCATGATACTTATCAAGAACTATTTGATGATATGGACATTAAAATAAAATGTAATAAACGAAGCTAAACATGTTTTTATATTTTTGAAGTGTATTGGATTATTGAAAATAACGCAACTGTAATTTAAAGATTACATGTCGCTAATTAATGTAACATAGTAACACAGTGTAACCTTGATATAACAAACCTCAATATAACGAATTCCTCGGTTTAACGAATTTTTCGAAATCCCCTAGAACTGCCTGTAAGAGCTAATGCAAAATGTAACTCTACATTACGAATAGATTTTATCAGAAACATCTTTATATCGAATTTTTTTTATTGCGGTATATATATAGAAGATATTATTTATCTCTTTTTAACCAATTTTCTCAACTTGAAATCTTGACATAACATATACTATTAATTATTCCTACTTAATTTCACAGTAAATCATGTCTTGGCAGGTTCAGACACGTATACGACAGATAGATGACTATTTACGTAATGTTGAGATTAATAACAAGTTTTCTTACCTTGTTAAAACGCATTGTAGTTCCACCTAACCTCTATATAACAAACCTCATTATAACGAATTACTTGCTATAATAACGAATACTTTTTAATTCCATTCAGTTTCGTTATATTGAGGTTGCACTGTATTCGAGTATTTATTAAAATTAGTGGAAAAAGAAATGTAAAATATTAATTTTGAATAAACTTACCGTAAAATCGAATTGAGAACTATACGGTATTTATATACTGCTTACTATCACTTTCATATTAATATTGTGAGCCAGCAATATTTGTTATTTGTTGTGAATTGTGCACTAATAAAACTAAGTATAGACTATAAATTATATATTTTAATAAGAAACTCTGGTAAGAACGGTAAGAATAAAAATAAATCAGTCGGTTAGCCATGTATCTCCATAATAGAGTGGACGCAAGAAAAATAAATAATTAAAGAACTAAGAGCGAGATTGTCGACGAACTAGTTCGCATAGTTCACCTAAAAGAGCGCTCTTCCAACCTAGGTCGTTCGCGAACTACCCAAGACTACTATGATTCTATGAATTTTACACCGGTGCGGCGCATGCATGTCATTAATTAAAAACACGTGTTTTTATTAAATTAAAGTGTACTTGTGTACTTCATATAAGATAAAAATATTATCACTCTTGTGATTTTTATAGCGTTTGGACTTAAAATTAATTAAGTAAGTATATAATATTTAAAAGATAAAAATACCACGCCACGTTGTGGTCTCATTTCTTCCCCTTTGCAAACATTCGAATAAAAAATATTTAATGTTACCTTGGTGCTGCAGGCTTTGCAACAATGACTGAAGAAAAGGAGGTTGTAACCGATAACAATAGTCAAGAGAATGGCAAAGAGAACAATTCAGATGAAGAAACTGATTTAGATAGTTCTATAATAAGACAAGTGGAGTACTACTTTGGTATGATAATTATTTATTTACTATGCATTGTTTCTTATTTAGCTCAATTTTCCAAAACTATGATAGACATAAACATTGACCAAACCTATTCCTTGTTTTTGTAAGTCTAAAATAAAGTTCATGATTGCGTAGTTTTTGAGATATAAATAATATAAATTATTACTATCTCATGGGTGGCTATAGACGTCCGGTACTTGATTTTAATTATGTTTTCAGTTTAGGAGGCTTGTAAGGGTTAAGCTTGAACCTTTTTCACTGTTTATGGATGTCTGTAATGCATTTTGAATTAATTACGATAAAAATAAATTTCACCAAAAATTGCGTATTATGAATTGCAAATCAATTTGGTCAAGCATTATGAAGTAATGTTGAGTACTTGATTTTAATTATCTTTTTAGTTTAGGAGGTTTGTCAGGGTTAACCTAGAACCTATACTGTTTTATATATATGGAAATGTGTTTTGAATTAATTACGATAAAAATAAATTTCACTAACTAAAAATTGCATATAATAAAATGGGTCACCCATAAAAAAGTTGATTACTCGGAACCAGACAATCCATTTGTGGCTGAAGATCATACACAACGAATTGAGTCACAGTGGAGAGCTGTCAAAGAGGTTGGCTTAGCTTTCCATTGACGTCTGTAGAGTTGGAGGTTGGTTTTTTTTACAGAAAGGTTACATTATTATAAGCACACACACAAAGTTTCAACATACGGAAACATGTACTTTTTGAGAAAAAAATTATTGATAATCTATTATTTTTCAATATTTATGCCAATCCTCACTGACGTCCCTCAAGTTGGGGGTTGATATTTTATTTACAGAAAGGTTACATTGTTATAAGCACACACTCAAAGTTTCAACATTTGGAGATGCATACTTTTTGAGAAAAAATTATTAAAAATCAAATTATTTTTGCAATATTTATGTCAATTCCTACTGTAAAACTGATGCTATTTTGTATTGTCATTGTCATCGTCAGTAGGGATGGGGATTCTTTCCGAAAAAGTTCTATTTTTAAATCAATTCGAATTGTAAGCTGATGTATCAATTCACAAAAAAGTCAATTTCTAAAATATCGATATTCTTTCATGGTTGCATTTATAATGTAAATATAAATCTATTTTATGAAAAACAAGAAAGATACCATGATAAATGATCTCTTATTGAAATTTGTTTTATTTTAACAGTACCTATTAGGGCAGATAACAAATAAAATAGGTTAGGTTCAACTTATGTCAAAGAACCGAATTGATTGACCCTGACTCCACTTGGTACGAGTCTGACCTACCCCTAGAGTGTTTTTATAGAGCCGGAGTCTTGTAGGGGGAGCAGCCTCCGCCTGCTGTAACAAATCGTACAGTGCTTAAATGTAAGCAATGGACTTGTGAAGGGAATGATGATGAATGAGTTTCACTTCCATGTGTACTCTGTACACACCCACTTTATTATTTATTTAGATATAAATACAATGTTTAAAATTATCATTGTAACTTTAATACAGGTGATGTCAACCTGCCGCGGGACAAATTTTTACGTGAACAAGTTACACTAGATGATGGCTGGGTGCCACTTGACATCCTTATCAAGTTCAACAGGCTTGCTAAACTCTCAACAGACACTGAAGTTATCGCTAATGCCCTTGCCAAATCAACTTCTGGACTTCTTGAGGTCAGTAACAACACTATAAGTATTTACAAATCAGTATGTGTTTTTCACAGTACACCTAGTGTTCCTCACAAAGTAAGAGGGGATTGCAAGTAATACTAACTAAAGTAACTTCTGTGCTACCAATACATTAACACTACCATTTCATCCAAATTCAAAGTTATCATTGATAGGGATGATTGTTTGATATATCAGTAATTTAGTTTATTCCTTAGATTTCAGATGACAAAAAGAAAGTAAGAAGGAGTCCAGAACTACCAATTCCTGAAATGAATGAGGAGCGACGTAAGGAACTAATGAGCAGGACAATTTATGCAAAAGGTTTTCCAAAAGATTCTTCATTAGACGATGTTTTGAAGTTCTTTAAACAATTTGAAGAAGTGGAAAATGTTATAATGAGAAGGTATCTGGAAAGCCAGACAAAGAAGAGACTTTTTAAGGGATCCGTTTTTGCCACATTTAAAACTAAAGAACAGGTAATTCGTAATATGGTATCAGAACTACTTTGTATTTTTCTTATATTGTTCATGTTGCAACACATTTTACTAACTTCCAAATCATAGTTCCTTCATTTCACTTTAGTAAAAGAATATAGCTGACAAGAACACTAGTGTCCCAGAAAGTTAATTTTTAATTCTCAATTGAGTTCTGCTCAGTGTTCATTATCATTCTTCTTTTCAACTCCGGCCAGTACTGTTTTATACTAATGAGAATTGCACTTGAATCTACATCCATCATTTTGATCACTATATTATAAAGCACCTAGAAATTTTCATCACTGGTAAGGTCTGGGTATCCTCCATGTGGTGGATACAAGTGTCAAGATAAATATTCTGCTATCTATGTGTGTATATAAGAGTTTTTGATTACTTTTCTATAACATACAGTATTCTCTTATGCTAGTATCAATCTGTACATAAGAAAATATTTGGATATTTTGAGCTAGTATTAAACAATGAAAAGGAAATATTTAGTCAAATTATTAAAAACATTGGTTATCCTATTTTGCTCAGATTCTAAGTGGCAAAACCCGAGGCTTGGAACTCTAGTAAACAATTTTTTTTAATTTAAGTACAATCTTGGTACAAAATTCAGGAATATTATTATTTAGTTTTAATTTTGATTTTACATTTATAGGCAAATGTTTAACCAAAATTCCACTTAATATTAAGTGGTGATAGAATAGAATAGCATATTTCAGAATACAAAGTCATTTATGCTTCTATCACTGCTTTGGAAAAAACCTCTGTCCCCTGAAGAACCAGGAAGAAACCAAGTGGGGCTTCTTTTTTCAAATATTTTTTACGACAATATTATGTTGTAGAATTTAATATGACAACATTTAGAAACAGCATGGTGGTATGATCACCTCATTCCCAAGAGCCATGTACTGTTTATTAACAACAAAACTATTTTCAAACAATTTTTGCTTAGTAAAAAATTTTTTAAACTTTTCGATAGATATGTCCTGCATATTTTCTGACTGTGATATAGCCTAGAAAATTCCACTTGACACTTACCTTGAAGAGTGGCATATTTTAGTGTTCAAAAAAAAATGTAAGGATGAAATCTACCATAGGTCTAGTAATTTGATGGCAAAATGGAGATGGTGGATCTAGATAGTGCAACTAGAGAGTTAGATCAGCAATCCACCTGTATTTGAGACTGTATCATATATCTTATTTTCATTTAATATTGCATCTGGTCATTAGCATCTCTTTTTATTTCAGGCTGAAAAATTTATCGATAACAAGGGCTTAAAATACAAGGACACAGAACTAATTATCCTTTGGCAAGAAAACTACTTCCAGCAAAAACAAGAAGAATATGCAGCAAAAAAAGAACAGAAGAATAAGAAAAATAAACAAAAAGAAGTGAGTGTTTTCAGTTTTAATTGTAAAAAAAATGTTATAACAAAATGTTTTCCAATTTATTCGGATCACTTGATTTTATCACTGATTTGAAAATACTTATTTATTTTTTATTTTAAGTCAGGTATATCACATAAATCAGATTGGCCTTTGGAGAATTTAAATATCAGTTACACTACATTTCTTCATACAGTACTCTCTCGCTAATCCGCCACCATAAAATCCTAACCAATGGTGGATTATAATGTACAGGAACAATAAATTGACAAAAAAAAATGTATGATTTATTTATATATTAGAAATCAACAAACATGAATATTTTATTAAAGTAATTACTCATATTTCGAAAAAAATGGGTCTAATTTTGCTTGTTTTTTTAACAAAGTATATCTTTTTGATAACTTCATCGCGCATTTTACCTAAATTTGCAACCATTTGACTTTCCATTTTCGGATTGGCCAACTAAAGAGTAGTTGCTTAGCACCGTGTCGCGGAGTAAAGAATTCTGTTCGTCTTACGCATGAAAGAGAGGTAAGACGGCGGACTATCGAGTCGAAGACTTTCAGTGTCGGCGGATTACAGGTTTAATCAAGACCAATCTCCAGTCCAAAAAACGGCCGATTATAGTACTTGTCGGATAATCGAGTGGCGGATTTGCGAGAGAATACTATAATAAGTATTATTTTCATTTCAGGTCAAAGAAGAAAAGGAAGAGTTCAAATTACCAACGGGCACTGTACTCCACTTTAGCCAAAGTAATGAAAAGATGACTAGGGAAAACATCAGAGACGCATTAACAGCAATAGGTATGAAAATTGTTTCTTTAGTTTCATTGTATAAAATATTTTAAACTCACTAAAAAAATATTTTAATAACACTATTGTCATTGATACATAATTCTAACAAAAATTTGTTGCTCTTAGGTGCTGAAATAGCATTCATAAGCTACAAAGTAGGTGAAACAGAAGGCTGGGTACGTCTTACAAAGGAAAATGCAGCAAAGGAGATTGCTGAGAAGATACCTGAAGGAAAAATGAAGATTGAAGATACTGATGTTGTATTTAAAGTTTTGGAAGGTGATGAAGAGAAGGCATATCTAGATAAAACAATAGAAGAAATGTCCAAACGCCGTAGGAATATGAAAAATTTCAAACAAAATAAACATAACAATAAGGGCAAAAATGCTAAAGGTAAACAAAATAGAAAACGAAAACAAGACCAGCATGATGAAGCACCACCTACTAAAGTCAAGGCTGACAATTAATTAAGTTGTAGATTGTAAGTTTTGCAATATGTTAATTATACTGATACCACTCTTTGTGGTAAAATAAAAGCTTTGTTTTTTTAATATACATATAAATTTATCTTTTACACTGTAGTGTGTATATATGAATAGTGAAAAATCAAAATTAAGGTTTCTGTTGCAATATTGTCTTCAAACATTTTAATATGATAATGGCTAAAATATTTCGAAGAGGTTAGAAGATATAAATGTAAAAAGTGGCAAAGTTAATAGATTGTTATATTATAATATCTTTGAACAATATTATAAAACAAAAGTAACCATATACAACTTATGTATGTATAATGACACTCTTGATATCAGATTTAGGAACGAAGTTCCTTACCGAAACTTCCCAAAATATCTATATAATTTTTATATGTAAAAATTACGTGTCACATGGTTTGTCCGCGATGAACTCCGAAACTACTGAACTAATTTCAATGAAATTTTGCACACTGTGCAGTTTTGTCCAACTTGAGAGATAGGATAGTTTTTATCCTGATAAGTGACACTCAATATTTTTTATTACGATTTTAAGGATTTTTTTATATGAAGGGTCGTCGAAAAGGGTAGAACAACGTCTGCCTGGTCAGCTAATATGTCTTAATTTTTAAATTATTACAAGTTTCCGCAATAAGTTCTCTGCAACTAATGTTTTTAACTTTTTGAACCTCTGTAATTCCACAAAAATGTAGTTAATGCGCAAAATCGAAATCTAGTTGTTTGTGATTTATGCGCTGCAAATCATTCATCAGGTTATGGTGAAACTGTCAACTTATTGCTTGCACTTGCGCAAGGTTCTATGCATAGTATAATTAACTTACAGAAAGTGGCGCGCGTATAGTACCGACAAATTTGTTTGAAAGTAATAATAATTAATATATCATTCCTAATTAAACAATTTAACTCTTCCAATTAAAAACTATATTTCCACAATTATATCTTCTGCGGCAGCAACGCGCCGGGTACCAGCTATTTATTTTATAAAAGTTGTACATACATTAAAATTCAAATAGATAAATAAAATGTAAATGGTCCAAAAATCGATAAAAATATATAGCAGTTCAATGCAACACGGCTTCATTAGAAGTCAAAAATTGTAGGTATCATATGAAATGAAAATCAATGTCCATGATTAAACCTTTGTTTACCGTTATATAATAAAACACTGCCTAAAGCATTATTATTATTTTTTCTACAAAAGAAGAAGCCTTTGTTTGTTATTTTTCTCTGAAAAATCAAATGCCCGAAAGCTTTCCGTGTCTCTAGCACCGTGGACTTCATCAAAGTTTGAACTAGACTTATTATGACCTCGGCTGGTAATGTGATGCTGTAGTTTGATATTCTCTTTTAACCAATGGAAATGATTAAGAACCTCTCAGGTTACAGAACACAATTACACTGTACCGAAAGAAGAACGTCAACTTCATACTAAAAACAGGAAACGCGTTTATAAGTGTACACTACAAGCGCCACGGTGGGCACCCATATAAAACTTTGTTTATTTAAGGCAAATTCCAGTAATTTTGGCTCGAGCTTGAGAAACCTATTGGGTGAATTCACATACATTTGGGGTTGCACCAAAATTACTCGAATTTACTTTAGACGAGCATGTGGGATAAAATAATACATACATAATAGGTACATACCGGGTGTTTTTGAAACGCTCCCGAAAACAAAGACAAAAATTGAAAAAAGAGTAAAATTTTCTCTATTATTATAGTTATCTAGCGAAACATCTCCTGACAGAGAGTATAGACAGTAGAATAATGTGACGATAGTCTTGCGTCCTTGTCGCACTTACACAAAATTCTTTATGCTATCCAGCTTTCACAGTAATTTTTCCATGTTTTACGCATTTTAGGTTATAATAGTTTTTATTTATTTTTTCGATAACGGTGGATTACCTTTTAATGTGAGTGGTATTATTATAATCGGGGACCAAATCTCTACCAAATAAAATACTGCAATACCTAATTATTTACAACACTTGTCTAAATACTTAACCTACTATTTGGCCACTGTGATTGTCTCCACTTAGCCACTTTATTCACAGATTAAATAAACCAAATACCTGGTTCGATTCCCCGCCAATAAAAAAATACTAAAATGAAATGTTAACAAGGTTAGTCATGCTTTTTGTGTAGTTATATGTTTATTATTATGATGTATTCAGTTATGTACCTATTCAGATGAGTTCAGTACTAAGTTATTTAATAAAATTAGGTATGAAATAGCTTACCGATCTAAATCTAATGAGATTCTCCAAGGCACATTAACATGTTACCGTATTCACGAGCACTATAAACGTACATACGCGTTAGGCAATATTAAAACAAAACAAGAGAAACAAAACGGAACAACAAGAATGTAATAAACAAGATGAACTAACGGTCGACCACGCGCAAGTGATAGTCAACACTATAGTGCGCGCAAGATAACCTGCGCGCGTCTGATATATGGAGTGTAGAGTAGAAGGAGGACCATCTCTGTATATGAAAAGTGTCCCTAAAAACGTGTCCAATAAGGGTGGCGCTGCAGTAGCATAGGATAAATTAAAAAAGAAGCGCCAAAAGTATTTAGAATAAGATGGAGAAATAAATAAGGACCGATCAATCCGCTTGGTTTTGTACTACGTAAATAGTTGAGATTTTGTATATTGGCGTTTTACTAACTACTCTAGTCATGAAATATTTGAATTCAGCTGACTTCACTCCGTTCATAACAGCTATCTTCATATCGTAGTTTTTCAGACGCCAGCGCTATTGTGGTAGGTTTTGGAACCTCTATTTACAGTAAATAGTAGGACACTTTTTCAACCTTCGCTCCTTATAAGATGGTTCTCCTTCTACTCTACACTCCATAGTCTGATGGCGTACTTAATGTTACCAGCTTAACTAATATTTTTTTCCTTTATTTAATTTTATTACTAGAATTATATAACTATATCAAATTACATAAATGACCTATTACTAGAATTATATAACTATATCAAATTACATGATGAATGAAGCTCAGTTAAAAACTGTAATATTCAGCTTAAACTTACAAAGATCTAATAAATTTTAAACCCTATATTTATTGTTTAAAATTCGCATAATAAATATATTTCTTGATTGTAACTCCCACTGCGTTCTATCAATACTTTTCGTTTGAACTGGCACCTTTTGTATTTGTAGCCCATAGTCTTTAAGCTACTACTCAACGATGTTCTGCCATATTTAAAATCAATATCAGCTTTGGGTGACGGTGCGTTCAGAAACACCTAAAACAATAAAAACTGCATTATAAATACATGATATTAATGACACGAGGAAACTAAAAACGAACAAGTCGAGAAAATTAGGGAGTTTCATTTGTTATGGCAGCCCTAAAAATTACCTGTGAAATATGAAACGTGGGCTCTAACTTTGGAAAACGGTACTGTAGACCCGTTATTGTCTCCTTCTTCTTCACAAGCGCCTTTGACCTTCAAGATAATATCCCTGCCAGCAATTTTAATCACTTTTGGCAAAATGATGACGATTATTTACTGCAAATTTATGCAATTTTAACGTCAAGCAGGGTGTAGTTTTTTCCAGGGGTTGAAAACGGAAGTTGGTATAAAAAATTTACTTACTTACATCCGCTCTTACTCTCACATATCAACACTTTTATTAAAACACCAAAATCATTGCCAAGCTACATTACACTAGGAACAACTTATATGATACCCAAAGACCGAAGTGACTCAAAAAATCCAGCCAAATACAGGCCAATTACTTGCCTCCAAAATATTTATAAGATTATTACTTCTTGCCTTAGCCAATTAATTTACAAGCACGCTATCTCCCGAAATATATTAGCAGAACAACAGAAAGGATGCAGAAAAAATAGTTTAGGTTGTAAAGAACAGTTGATTATTGACGCAATCGTCTCCAAACAAGCAGTCACCAAAAAAAGAAATATTTTCACTATGTTTATTGACTATGTACCCCATAGCTGGCTAGTATATATTTTAGAACACTATAAAATTCACCCTCAAATTATAGAATTCTTAAAAAATGCAATGCTCCACTGGAGAACTACTCTCAAGCTTTACAATGGTGACTCTTGTTTAGAGACTGATATAATAGCAATCCGAAGGGGAATATTTCAAGGTGATGCCTTAAGCCCTCTTTGGTTCTGCCTGGCTTTAAATCATTTATCTAACCTTCTCAATAGAACTGACAAGGGATATAAAATCACCAACGGAAACACATATCACACACTATCACATTTACTTTATATGGATTACATAAAATTGTATGGAAGTAGTTTAAAAGATATACATATTCTTGCTGATATAACGGAAAGCTACTCAACTGATATTCAAATGAAATTCGGAATAAATAAATGCAGGATACAACCAATTCGTAGAGGAAATTCAGAACAAAATTCATATACTCTCCAGACAGGTGATACCATTGAACCTGTAGATGAAAACACTGGCTATAAATATCTAGGATTCACTCAGACTCGACAGATTCACCAAAAACACGTGAAAAAAACATTAGAAAAAGAATTTAAATCACGCCTCAATAGAATACTTAACACACATCTAAATGCACGAAACACCATTAAAGCAGTAAACACATTCGCTATCCCAATTTTAACTTATTCGTTTGGTATAATTCATTGGTCTAAAAGTAATTTAATAAAGCTGCAACGTTTCATCAATACAACAATGACTAAATACAGAAAACACCACCCTAGATCTTGTAGCGAACGACTCACATTACCTAAAGTAGAAGGTGGAAGAGGTTTCATAGATATAAAAAATCTTCATAACTCTCAAATTTCAACTATTCGGAACTTCTTCCATCAACAAGCCAATAACAGTCCGCTTCATAATGCCGTTGTCCAAGTCGATACTAAACTCACTCCTTTAAACCTCAAAGATCACAGAAAAATGAAAGTATTATCTCTGTACAGGATAAAATTAACAGCTGGTTACACAA